CATTATACTGTGTCAGAAAATTTAATGGAGAAAACTCGTTATTAAAAGAAATTATATATCCATTATATAACCCAAATATAACCTCAGGGTATTAGTAGAAATATTTGAAAGTTGATAAAGCATGGCCACTAATGAAATGACATATCAATTCACTCCTAATTGGATGTCCCTTTTATTTTCTATTTATTTATTTGGGGGGGGGGGGCATTTTGAATCTGAGTGTACAAGACAGTTTTATTGTTGCCCTGTCAAAATTGTTAGGTTTTCTGTTTTTAATTCGTTAATCATCTGTGCGTTATTATGCTGGTGTGTTATTACTGTTTTTTTTTAAGAAAGTTTGTAATTATGAAAAGTAAACTTCTCTATCCTCTAATCTGACAATTGCATACTCAACATGCTTCATATTAACAGCTTGTCTGAACAGTAATATTCTTCATTGTTACTGTCTTTGGCTTACTTCAGTTTACTATGTTTCTGTATGGTACCTGCGTCGTAACGTTTCGACTGTACATTTTAAGAAAATTTATGTTAAGTAACTTCTTAAAGTAAGATTCTGTTTTATTCCTTAAACTGAAGACATACAAAATTTTGGTAAGGATTTGCTCTTCCAAATTGAGATAACTTTTATGATATGGAACAGAATGTGTTCGAAACATATTGTGAACGTGCTTTATCGCCACTATGAGAAAAACTTGTACAATGGATAGTTCATACTATATACCCGCACAATATATTTGATACTTTCATTGATATTAGTCCAGCTTATTTCTCTTTGGTTAACTTGTGTTCAGGGTTACTGACGATTAGTGGAATTTTCCGAAACTAGTATAACCCAATTATAGTATTTTGGCACTTGTGCATAAAGTTAAAATCATAAATAATATTCAGTGTTAAACTGGTATACAATTAAAAATATTTTATTTAGGCCTATATGTGGCCTTCAAAAAGTTGACGAATCTACATGTTTCGGCGTTACAACGTCATCCTTTAGTATAACACATGCTGATGAAAGTGTAGATTGAACTGGACCTCCCTTCATCTTGGATTTCGAGATCAAACAATTTTCGGAATACTAAGCTCATTTATTAATAGAATGTGTTTTATTTTTGCTTGAAAGTACAAGCAGACTAGTGAGGCGTACTGAGAAACAGTGGATGTTCAGCAAATTTAGGTTTGTGAATTTGTTGTTTGTACATTGGATTGATAAACACAATTTTCTTCGTGTTAATAAAAGCTGTCAGACTAGTGGCAGGTAAGCATAACTACCAAAGTGGCTGTGTAACTATTTAAACTTCAAATTACTGACTTATTTCTACACGGTTTACTATTAGTGTTTGTCTGTTATGGATTTCGCGCAAAGCTACACGAGGGCTATCTGCGCTAGTCGTCCCTAATTTAGCAGTGAAAGACTAGAGGGAAGGCAGCTAGACTTGACCAACTCTTTTATCAACGAATAGTGGGATTGACTGTCACATTATAACGCCCTCACGGCTAAAAGGGGCGAGCATATTTGGTATTGTTACGTCTCCGTTTGTTAATTGATTTTCCGTAACTTCGTTCCGACGAAACTTTAGCGACACAAGTCCTTTCT